AGAATAGATGCGATTAATTATTATATTTTTTTCATATTTTCGAGTTATGAATTATTATAAATTATCAAACATTAGTCTTGTACCATTTATTCCACGCATGTATTATATTCAATTATGCTCACATTTGTGAATACAAAAGCACCATAAAATATCATGCACACCGTAAATAGTAATTGAAAAGAAACATGCAGCGCTAGTATTTGTTTAAAAAAATAAATAAAAAAGAAGAAAAAGAAAATAATAATCTTTAATGTTTTATGCACATATGCAAATTTGAGGAGAAAAAATAATACTAATAATATATTGTAGAAAGATATATCAACTATCCGCGAAGTGACCTGAAGCATGTTGTTATTTCACATTTAGCACTTTTAGCCGTTCTTCATTGAATATGAATAACATATGACGTCAAGAAATAATACTGGAAAATGTATTATGAAACCTCAAAACTGATAAAACAGTGACTTAAAACAGTGATCCTTTTCTAAAATAAGATGTCTCGTTGTTGAATCGTCTAAACTTCTAAAGAAATTTTTAACTTTCTCTTGGACCGGTCTATCTTCCCGAGAAAATGCTTGGAATGCGATATCTCATGTAGATAATACGTTTCTTCTTGAAATACCGATCACTCTTCAGTTCTTCGTGCTACTGGTTCTCTTGAAATAAATCTGAATTTCAGTTAAGAACGGTCGAGCTCTATAAGAATACTCTCGCGATATCACTCAACACTACAGAAACGCGAGGAGAAATATCGTCGAAGCATGCTACGCAGTAGCGCTGCTTCTTCCGGAATTACTGTTAAGATCGTGATCGACGGGATTCCTCTTCGCGCGTATCGTGTATGCAAATCGCTGCATATTTGTTTTATTCATTTTTAGAGCCATACTCGCCGAGGTGTGCCAAATATAAATGACCTGCGTCCGAGACTTGGCGACTCGCGGTGACTTAGAGTCCACGACTGCGTAATCCCGATTAGTTAGCTGTCAGTTGACCATCTGTTAAGGCACTTGAAATGCTAATTTTCCTGGGCGGGGCCCTTCAAAGAAAATTCAGATATGAAGCTCGTTTACCTACTTCCTTATTCATTCACGGTTCGCCTTCTACGGAGAATTGAATAGTCGTGCATTAACATGAGAAATAAGCGC